AGTTCAACTCTTCTTCTAGAGTGAATTTGACTGAGGAATGATCACTATTGAAGTTTTGAAGCAGGTTTTCGAGACCCATATTCTCGACACAAATAATAGAAATATCATCTACCTATCTTTTGTAGCAATGAAACTCACTGATTATTTTCCTTGATATCGTGTCTTTCAAGCTCACCATAAAGCAGCCAGCTAGGATGAGTCCAAGAGGCAATCCCATTGCAACGCCATCTATCTCTGTGTAGATTTCGTTGTTGAATCTGACCAGCGCGTTAAAAATATATCTAAGAAGTCCCAATGTTTAATTTATGAGATTAAATGACGCTAAACAAGAAACAAATGGTTTCCTTTGGTGAGACATCTGTAAAAAGGGATATGACATCCAGAGAAATCATCTTCTTGTCTAACAGATTCACATTTTTGAGTAAATCAACAAAGTAAAATGTGTCACAGAGGCTGTTTCAAAGTTTCATTCCACACTGGATTCACTATCTTCACGAGCCATTTCGCAACTAAATGGTAAGGAAAATTGGTCGAACGAACGGGAAAAACTTCTTTATGCACTTTGAATAGACCATATACTCAAAGGATAGAGGAACCGGATGGATGGAGTTGTTCGTAGAGTTTAGTGTTAATCAGTACTTCATTTTTCATCTTCTTCAATGTTTTAGACAACTGAATTTCTAGTTCATCGGTAGGGTCCTTCTAAATTGTCTGTTTTAGAAATTTGCTTCCATCTAATAGAATGAGTGTAAGCTTATCTATATAATCAGATTTGTTCAGGAGCACTATCCCAGCACCTTTTTGGGGTGTAACACGATTATTATTTTATTTTTATGAAGCTTTCTTAGCTGATTCATATGTTCCTTAGATAGAATATGTCCAGTATTGGATTTTCTGTTCATGTAATCCATACAACAACTTAGAACAGCTGATTTGAAATGATCAAGGTCATTAGATGAGATCAGAACTAGGTCTTTCGTTTGATAAATCAAATTTCCGAACTTCACTTCTGTCTTAAGTTCATTAAATTTGGATGATGTTTTGCAGATTTTTGGACCAAGGGATAAGAAGTGCGTTTGAATGGAGGACAGCGGTATACTCGAATAATTGAATATATACTCTTATTGGCCTAACAAGAAAATAGTTTCATAGGTTGTTGACTTTACACTCCAGTTCAATTTTTTATGAATTTCATCGGTGCACTTTTCGGTGATGGTATTAACTTAGTTGTCAAATTCTTTCCATTCATCTTTAGATAATTCTAATAGAATATGGCTCTTTTGTGACAGATGAAATTCTAATTCTGATGACAGAGATCTGACAGTATCAATATGTTTCAAAGTGTGTTGTTTCAAAGTACTTGAATTAGAAGAGATATGATTGTGTCTTAAATTCTTCCAAAACATTTTGGGATATTCATGTCTATCCATACATTTCTTTAGGAGAGAAATTTTCTCATTCACCTATAAAAGTCTGTTTGAAAAACACAGAAAGTTTTAGAGTTCCTCTAACCGTCGATAAATCTTTGCTATTCTTCAAATATCAAAGACGTGATAAACGAACCTAACTTCACTGATACAAACGTTGTTGAAAATGTTTAACTCTGTAGGAGGTATATAACAAGCAAATTGAATTTCTAAGATTATTCTTCGTGAAGTAGCGTACTACCGCAATGGTCGACGACTAATCGTCATATGAAGTGAAGAGTATCAGTGGTGTTCAGTATGGACGTTCACTTGTATAATTATTATCGAAGTTATTTATAGATCTATTGGTGGCTATTTGGCTTCCTAGTGAAACATACCACTTCAGTAGAACGTCTCCATTACACTCTGTCCTCTGAAATCTTTTGAACCTCACTCCACGACAGCCCACAAACTCTCATTTCTCCCTCGCACAATCTCCTCCATGTCACCCTCACCTCCGACGCCCAACTCCTCGCTTCCCATCTGGATTCCACTCGACTGCCTGGCCTGACGCGTGAGGAACCCAGTCGGCCTTCTCAGTGTATACCACATCCATCTCCACTTCCTTCTGCATATTTGTTCAGCGATAGGTTTTCGCTTCATTGGTTCGTTGCCAGTCAGCCAGAGTTCCTTGTTGCTTATTATTATTATTATAATTATGGCCATCTGATTTTCAGTAACGAACCAGCGTAGGCAGTTGTTGATGAATGTCTGTGGTTTGTTGGAAATGCTTTTCGTAACGCGCCAAGTCTCTCAAGCATACAGAAGCACTGACTTGACTGAGTTGGTGTTGAAAATTCGGATGTTGTTCACGCTTTATGCTGAGTGCAGTGCAGTAGATCTCCATACTGGTTTCGGGCTAATGAAGAATGGCCTATCTTACTGTGCTTCCGATCCTGGCTGGCTTTGACCTCCTCGTCTGTCTGTGCCGCCTGCAGTTGAAACGGTGTTGCCTGTCTAGATAGGTGGAAGAGGCTAGTTCCTTCAAGTTTCTGCTGTTGATGGTGACTGGAGCTTGTTGTTGTTGTTGTTGGTGGTGGTGGTGGTGATGGTTGGTTATCTTCATCACCTCTGTCTTTCTTTCCACATCTCTTTCAAAGACTTCCAGTGCTCATCCACACAGGTTTCTCCGGGATGTTGCTAGATATCTCCGATTTTGTCTTGATGGCTGCCGTGAAGATTTTCTTTGTAGTTTCGTCTTTCAGTTTCTTGGTGACTTGAACTGTGGTCTATCACCAACTTCCTTAAAGGCTTTCAACTTGATTTGGAAGGTTCTTGCACCAGATAGTGGTCTGAGCCTACATCTGCTCCTCTTCTTGACGTAGTGTCAAGTAGGCTGCATCTCTACTTTCTTCACATTGAGATAAAGTCGATCTGATTTTAGTGTGTCCTGGTGTCTGGTGAAATCCATGTCGCCATCAATGTACGTTTGAAAATGTTTCATACAACACGGGTACTTTTTGAAGATGACCTGATAAATGGTCATCTAAATTGAACGATATTGGATTATTCAACTGTATGTCTTGGAAATTTCATTTATCTATGGCTAAGCCGTGTTTTAGTCAATGTGGAGGTAAATAAATGAAGCTGAGGTTAGTTCAAATATAATTCAGGTAAAAGCTATGCGCAATACAACATGAGATGATGTGTCGAATGACAAACATTTAGAAAAGAGGTCAAGTTTAGCTTAGTCAAGACACGATGATAATCTATGAATTTGATGAAGTTAACTCGAACTACATAATTTGCTTTACTCGGGGTGTTCAGACGTTAGGGACCGATAACATTAAATCCCAGATGATATTACTCATAGTAAATCACATTGTTTCAGAGGAATTCATAGTGTATGTCCTTTAATCTAAATTTCAATGATCAAATTTATTTGCTCCACTTTCGGTTACCCAATCGTTTAATGGTAACGTGCTGACTACAGAACCTGGAAGTCCTGCGTCCGATCTTTTGAGGATCATGAGTGCACAGTGATGATAAGTCCATACTAGGACGATGAAGCTGTTCTGTCCGTCGATGTTTTCAGTTGGTCAGCGACGATACATTTTTTTCTCGATGAACGCATTCTCTAGCCTGCATAATTGTGAACCGATACTGGTAACAGTTGGAGATTTCAGAATAATTTCTGCTAGGAGTTGACATGAACGTGATGATGATAATAACAACGCGAAGGTTAGGTTAAACAAGTGGGGGGTTTTTAGTAAGAAAATAAAAGGCTAAAAAATGCAATATGATTACATCATAAAGGAATTGTGAATAAATAGACCCTTATGACGAACACGGCAAAGAAGGAGGCTGGGAGTAGTTCTCTTGAGTATAGAGTAATGGTTTAAAATCTTGAGTTGTTAACATCTCAGTTATGTTAGGTTGTCTTATTCTTAATTCTTTCAGGTGATTTTGTTTCATGTACTGCAAAAGGTTTCAAGTGACTTGCGTTCACCCGATGTTCTTTTACAGAGCAGAAGGTATATTTTTATGCATTCTTTGTCAAGCAGGTCAGTTATTGCTTCTGACTACGTCTCACTAGCTGACACGTGATACGACCGATTTAATGAACTTCAAAGAAACCTATAAACTTATAAGACCACACTGAAGAAGATGAAACTAAACAATTGAGACCTAACTAGCTGTCCAGTAGGGGTGAGTGAATTTATAACAACAGACTCATACCACCAATGCCAGTTAATCAAGATCTAGTTAAATTTCCTTGAACATTCAACGTTTTCACCTGTTCCGCTTTAACACTGATAACAGTCACTTTGATGATTAACTACCTCTAAATTAAATTCCTATTCATATCAGAAACATATTATTTTAGAGTGCTAAGTAGTAACTTCTTCCAGATGGATATTACGAAGTTCTAAAGAGAAGTCGTGATTTGTGGGGTAAACCAGTCGGAAGGGAAACGGATATCAATTGAAGACCTTAGGTGATAGTTGTGTTATGTTGTGACGGAAACTGTGAACCATTGAACTCCAACTCAGTGCCTGAATGGTTAACGCGTACGCTGTGAGGTCTGAAGGTCCTGAATTCGATCCCCATCCAGGTGGTGGGTGCGTACTGTTGAACAGCCTCTTATTAGGACGAAACAACTGTCCAGTGCTCCAGGATTCCAGTAGTTCCCCAACTGATGTCAGCCCATGTCCCTTAAATTAAACATCTCAAAAATGTATTAACTTATCTGTCAAACTCCTTCCCCTCAAGATCATACTTCAATACACATGAGTTATTTTTTATTTATTCATATTTTCATTTACTTCTGGGTTTTTTTATTTCTCACACACACACACACACAAAAACATACATACACTTTATGAAAACAAACTGAAATTATCCACAAAATAATCAAAAATAGTTTTCTTTTGTGTATTACAGAAATAAAAATTTTTTTAATTGTTAGTGATGTGTAAGCGATATTTATCACAGTGTTACTTATATCTACTATTTAGTAATCTATAATGATAAGGATAAATTTATTGGACATTGGACATTGTATTAGTTTTTAATTCACTGTAATTATTGATTTTATATATCAATCCCATTACGGCGAAAGAATTCACTTTCAACCAGCATAATACGTGCATGTTTACGATCACTGATTTCAATATTTTTATCTAAACGATGTCCATACATTGAAGAGGAGAGTGACGGTACACTTTTAACTTTTTCCTAGAATAAGTAAGAAAAATAACAATAGTAAAGGTTATTGGTATGTATGCCGGAAAAAATATGTAAATGTGTTATAGGAATTGAAGTGATTGTTAATTCATTTCTTACCTGTTCTCGTTTACCCTATGAGATGTTCCCTTTCCCCTTTTTTATTTTCAGTTTTATACTACTTAGTATTTTTGAGTAGTACAGTTCGTTTCCTTATAATGTTGCTTCATCGGTAGTCATGACACTTCGCTAAGTTCCACTGTTTCTTGTCTACCACTTAACATCCATAGATATCAGAATGTTTCATAGTTCATAATGCTCTTCTAATTTCTTTCTTTGTTATCTGATTTTCTATTTTACTCTGGACGTTTGTTTACTTTTACCTCACTGTGAGAACTAACGCGTCTTTTATATTTCCATCTGGTTGCTTGGACAGAGACTTGCTGTTTTCGATGTTAACGCACTGTTTGCCGGTGTTATGAAAGCGATACACCCACAGATACCTCACTCTTCAAGGTTTGAATTTTATTACACAACATTATTTATCAATATAGCACCGTATTTCAGACATCTTCTGTTGTATTCGATTTTACGTGTAACTCGAAAGTTTCGTTAATTGTTGAAAAGTCGCCTGTTTGCTTTAATTCTGAATTTCTTGGAAAGAAATTCATAAATATTTATTTGTTGACTGAAGGTGTTTGACCCTCGTCTGGTTAACTAGTTCACTAGTTACTAGCCGGTCCTAAGCCCCGGTAAAGAGGGAAGGTTGGGCATAGGACTTGCAACCCTAAACCGGAAAACCAATCCAATCCCTAAACAAACTTCAAAGCACAAAGAAGTTATGAAAAATAAAAACAAACATTCCTTGCTGGAATCGGAGAGGCGAAATGATGCCGGGTGATGAAAGCCTTCAGGAAGCCAATTGGCCGATGTGTCTTCTACCCCTCCAAGAAAGCGAAAGTAAACGTGGGGACATGGAATGTCCGCACAACGTTTGAAGCTGCCTGGCAAAGCTGCCCAGATTGCAAAAGATATGAGAAGGTATAACATAGAAATGCTAGGAATCTGTGAGGAATCTGCGAAAGCAGATGGAATGGAAGTGGACTCTCCAAACTGTCAACTGGGAAGGAGTCAATAATCTACTCCGATATTGTCACCCAGATGACAACCACGAGCACAGCACACTGAGTTTCGGAGTAGCTATCATGATATCTCCAACAGCATCGAAGGCTCTCATGCAGTAGAAACCAATGTACTCCAGGATCACGATCATGACAGCAAAATTCAACTCAAAAGAAAGGGAAGTCACAATCATTCAGTGCTACCCGCCAACAAATGATGCAGATCAAGAGAAGGAGGAATTCTACAGACAACTGCAATTAGTACTGGACGTGACCTAGACACATTCTAAAGCTTGAATATTTGCACTGACATTTATCTCCAGATTTTTATTCACTTACATAACTTTATCTACTTTGATGTCACTCATTTTTTATCCACTTGTTGTTTGTGTACTACTGCGATGTGTGGCAACTTAAGCTAATGCATCTGTGTACAAGATTCTAAGTTGATTTCATGAATAAGTCAGTCATTGTAACAGTTACCTTTTTGACCATTACAACCATGGTATTCACATCTATTATATCATAGCTTATTTGTGATGCTACATGACAAGTTATTCACAATGGGAAGCTCAGTGATGCTTTTGAAGTGAAGTGAAGACAGGAGTAAAACAAGGCTGTCCATGATATTCCTGATTGTAGTAGACTGGATCATGCAACAAACAGTGAGGAGCGAGAAGAGGGGGATACGCTGACTGGACTGCGGAAAAGAACCTGGAAGATTTGGATTTCGCCAATCACCTATGTCTAATGTCACACAAACTTGAAGACCTACAGGCGAAAACTAACAAGTTGACAGAAGAGGCAGGGTAAGGCAGGGCAGCGAAGACGGGACTTCAAGTTGACGTAGAGAAGACAGAGGTGATGAAGATAACCAACCATCACCACCACCACCACCACCAACAACAACAACAACAACAAGCTCCAGTCACCATCAACAGCAGAAACTTGAAGGAACTAGCCTCTTCCACCTATCTAGACAGGCAACACTATTTCAACTGCAGGCGGCACAGACAGACGAGAAGGTCAAAGCCAGCCAGGATCGGAAGCACAGTAAGATAGGCCATTCTTCATTAGCCCGAAACCAGTATGGAGATCTACTGCACTGCACTCAGCATAAAGCGTGAACAACATCCGAATTTTCAACACCAACTCAGTCAAGTCAGTGCTTCTGTATGCTTGAGAGACTTGGCGCGTTACGAAAAGCATTTCCAACAAACCACAGACATTCATCAACAACTGCCTACGCTGGTTCGTTACTGAAAATCAGATGGCCATAATTATAATAATAATAATAAGCAACAAGGAGCTCTGGCTGACTGGCAACGAACCAATGAAGCGAAAACCTATCGCTGAACAAATATGCAGAAGGAAGTGGAGATGGATGTGGTATACACTGAGAAGGCCGACTGGGTTCCTCACGCGTCAGGCCAGGCAGTCGAGTGGAATCCAGATGGGAAGCGAGAAGTTGGGCGTCGAGGTGAGTGTGACATGGAGGAGATGTGCGAGGGAGAAATGAGAGTTTGTGGGCTGTCGTGGAGTGAGGTTCAAAAGATTTCAGAGGACAGAGTGTAATGGAGACGTTCTACTGAAGCGGTATGTTCCACTAGGAACCCAAAGGACAAATAATAATAATAATGAGGGTGTTTTAGTAAGACTAAACCAGTGATTAGTACAGATTTTACTGGCCATCTATTACGGATTGAATAGGCAAAGTCAAGAGTTGGACCAATTTCAGAGGTATATTTCTTTTTAAGTTTGTAAGGAGAATCTATTCTCTAACTAAGTTATCGGCGATTATGTATTCGATCTGTGTTATAAATAAAAACCGGTGGCATGTAGGACCACATTTCTATTTAAAGCTAGAAATATGATGGATTAACAATGAACACTATATACATGCATGATTTCAAGTTTTATTCACCACGGATGAACATCCACTGAGAAGCAGTGAATAGTTTTTTCGTCTTTGCATAGGACTTCTCTGCTGCTCGCACTTATGGCTGCAGAAGAGGTCCAGCACGGTTACTACTAGACCGCTAGAATAGAATCTAATGCACCACATTTTCCCTACTATAGTTAATTCGTGATGTAGCACAACCTTCACATAATACCATCAGTGAGTAATTTTCCTTGCTTCCGACTCGGTACTCTCCCCTGTCACGATTTCTTATCAAAACTTCGGATATCTTATCTCGATGCAAGTCATCAACACATACTAAACAGTAATTCACTTTGGAAGTTTCTGGGAGTTTACTTATTGATTTCAAGCAGGTATTCATAACAGCCTGACATCAACTGAAGAAACATTCAAATGAAATGCATTTAGAGTAACTCTTTTAGTTCCAAGTGTGATAACCAAGATTTGGATGTAGCATGGTTTCAGAAAATACTTTTCATCGGGTAACTTCATGACTAGTTTAGGTTTCAATGAGAATTCTTCGTTACCGTAAGCTATTTTCAAGTTTTATTTTGTAAAGTTTAAAAGATAAACAATCAATCGAACTAAGTTAACTAGGATTGTTAAAACTTGGGATATGCAGCTATTTTCCAGAGAACTCCTTTGAAATTGATAAATTTCTGAGGAAATAAAACTTCAGATAGAATAACAGTCCAGTGCTAACTAATGACTTGTTTCTACATGAACCTTTTTGAAGTTTTAGTATGAAAATGTGATCCAAAGAAGAAGAAAAAAGTTCTTCTATGCTTCTTGGAGTTCTGTTAGCCCTCTAGTTGATAACAACCTATCATCGAAATTCTTCTGAAAACTATCACGAAATAATTGAGCCTATTCTTAGAGTTAAAATGGTAATTCATTCAGAATCTCTGTATTAAACCCGTTTTATCAATGTTGTGAAAACTACTTTCAAAGCGGTTATTCATAGACTGTTGCGGCAAGTGAATTTATTGATGTTCACTCATGGTAAGAGTAACCAACTTGATGTAATTTGAGGCCCTTGAATCAGTATTGTTCAAATCATGATAAGAATAGTGGAAAATATCCTTTTAATCTAGTATTGCTGGATATTCCGTTGGAAGAAAAATACCCATTTCAAATTACACCTGAAAGTGCACAAACAGGCAGAAAAAATCAACTCAGAAACTCGCACACAGATGCTTTGGTTTTAGCTGTTTCACAACGAGTCGATGAGAAAGAGTGATATTACAACAGATAAAGGTGTAAGGGGGGAGAGGAAAATTAAAAATAACAAGTTAGCCAAGACATCCGAACCAGCAACCACCAGGTTTCCAGCTCGGTGTTCTACCAATTGAACTACGAGGTCTGACCGCTGACCAGATTTTTATTTTGATTCGAGTGTCAAGGATTCTGCCCGACCATCATGTGAATTCGTGACGCATAGCTGAGTTAGTAGAGGATCGAACCGGAAACCCGGTGGTCACTGGTTCGAATCCAACCGTGATCCAAGTTTCATTCCACCTCCAACCATAACCCAGTATTAATACTAGTCTGCCAAACCACTACTATCTCAGATGTTCAGAATGATAGTCAAAATAATGCTCCCTCTTTCTAATTCAGTCAGATTTGGATTTGGATGAGAAGTTCTGACTTGGCAGTCAGTGCTAGTACGATTAAGTGATAGTAACACTGCACGAATTCACATGGCATTCAGGCAAAACCATGGTGATAGAAGTGAACAGAGGATCTGTCAGCACTCGTACTCTAATCACTAAATCGGTAATCTGGAGGTCACTGGTTAGAATCCTGGATCAGCCTACATTTTCATTTCGCCTTCAATCACCACCCGGTATCAGGATTTATTACCATCACGTCTTTAACTATGTAGGAGTCACTTACTCACTTCACATTTCCAGTTTTCATTCACTATTTGTTAAACCTAAAGAGAAAAGACATATTTTATGAATCTTTGGTTTAATTATTTATCAGAAACTAATTGATCAAAAAACAACTTCCAACATGAATTGGTTTCCATTATCATCTAGCTGCTGTTTATTCGTAGTAAATTCCATTTTCAAAAGACAATGAATTCTTTTACCTATATAAGGCTTATACCTGGTACCACATCAGTAGCGTAGAGTTCAGGTGTTAACCTCTGAGCAGAAGAGAAATGTTAGCCGATGAGGTTGTGAACCTTCATCGACCCAGGTGTTACGCATGCTTAATCACCACCTTCTTCACTGAACAATTTAATCTGAAATAGATTCACGCTGTAAAAAGCTTAGAGGCAGCCAGACTAAAGCATAGCGTCAAGTGATGAAGCCTTCAACTGTTGATCTCAACCATGTAGCGAAATGCAAACATATTGTCTGGGTCAAGAACCAACCATAATTGATAGTTGAAGACTCTAGGTGACACTGGTTAAAACTGATCTCAATTAACAGATGTATTTATACATTATCTTCATCTTGATCCTCCTATTAAATTTCACTCACCGCTTTTCCTGTTTCCCGTCTTTTGACGACTTCCTTCCGTATTTGTTTATCTCACCTGTTGGTGCATTCTCGTTTCATGTGCTGACTTGAGGTATGGCAATTCGAACCTTTGCACAGTATTGCCAGGTTTTATGTTGATGTTGTGTCCTGTACTTCTTAGTGCACTCAAAGCGATGACATCAGTTACTATTATTCTAAATACCCTGCTTCTTTAACCTGGCTATATCCAGAACGTTTGACGAATACTTAGATAACAGAGAAGGTGAAAGGTAGTTCTAGATTCTAAGTAGATCAGTGGTATATTTATGTGACAAGACCAGTGTAAGACACTAATCTAGGTTACTTTCAAAAAAAATAGTTGAAATTCACTCACTTCATCATTTATATTTAATCCAGAATGTTTATCATGTCTCCGGTCGGATCGATGAAGTTTTGGATTAAAATCATCTTCTTTTGAAAATACTAAATCGTAGACACAAGTTTTTTTATGCGACTAAAAAAATGAAAATTTGACAATAGACATGTGTTTGAATGACAAAAATAGGGAAGACTCCTTTTCAAAGTCTATAATGAAGCCAAGTAAAACGTTTGCAAAACAACAGATGAGAAAATATTCATTAGAAGCAAACTTAACCCTCTTTTACGATTGATTCAAATTCTAGAGTTATTTTTTTGATGTTTGTCTACCAAATATCACTTGCAGGACAAAATTAGGAGAGCTTAGATGTAACACTGGCTCATGTATTGTGCCACGTGAAAATCAGTCAAATAAACTTTACTTATCGTAGGACTGTGACCAACTTCATGGTTTGTAGCCATGAGTTACAGATGAATTCTGTCTGTCATTTTGAAATGCTGTCACCGAATTAAAAGACTTACTATCACAGTTTATTTACCGAAAAATAGATCGAACTGAATCTGGCAACTTTGTGGACATTCTTGCAGGAGGCAATAAGCCACACTTATTATGTTAGAGCTAATGATACTACTAACTGGTTGTCCAAACCTCGGTAGGTGGAGCGACTTTAAGCCATGACCCACTGGTCAATAGTCAACTTTGTACACCAGTGAGCTACAATCTCTCGGATTTGCGTCAGATTTAAAGCATTTTACTTGTTTTCTATAACTACCTCACAAAATATCCAGTGATATACACTTTGACTAACTCAAGAAAATGTACCTACAATTTCAAAATACAGGTTCTAGAAGCAGGACAAAACCTACACAGTAACCTAGTATACACGTTCACATATATATTCGTATTTTCAGACACGTACTCTGGGCATATTGAAGCTTTCAGCACCGTCAGTTTGCCAAGTTTTCTTCTATTTGATTCAAAACAATTTTTTCTCTGATTGATTAAACGTGTAAATAATATTCTACGTTTTAAAATCTGTGCATTTTGCTAAAATTGTTGAAATAAACTTGAGTAGGTGCGTATCTTCTAATAAGTATACTGGTAAGTAAAAATAACCTACAGTTAGTGCTTAGAAACTGCATGGAAAAATATTTACACGTACCAGATAGACCTTTGACTAAGTTGTATTTCTACTCATTAGTATCACAGAAAAAAGTAGAACAACAAAGCTGTAAGTTATTGAGCTTATGAGATAGGTCAAGCTTATGAATTAAAATTTTTTCAGAACTTACTATCACTTCCATTATTCACAGTTTACCCATAGTTAAAGTCACCACTAAGCTGTTTTTCATTTAGTAGTGTCTGCATACTGATGAAACAAAAGCCACCAACTATTTGATCAAAAGAATGCACTGACTTCCTTCATGAACATCTTAACCGGAAAGTCTCATACTAATGATGGAAGTTTTATAATGGGTTAACAGTCATGTGCGAATACTTACGAAACTAGGGCCATTGAGATTCCAAAGCGTAACACACATAAAACTTTTCCCTCTCTTGATGTTGGTGCCTGTAAACAACATTTTTGAAGAAAGATGTCATTCACTACATCAGATACTTAGAAACTTATCATTTGAGATATCCTCTCTGCTACACAAAGAAGGTCTGGTGCACAGATGTCTGTACTTAGCATGATATTGAAACGTTTAACAAACAGCTCACACTTAACATTCACTTTCAGAGGTCTTAATATTCGTCACAAGTTATTTCCAATGAACAGCAAATTCAAGGATAAAGATAAGCACTTTACATAGTCATTACTTGTAACATGATCAGATAGGGTATCTGAAGGTGAAAACGAGTTGTGTAATCATAGAAACTATTGGATATCTGTTTGAGACCTGTCACATATAACCTTTTCAGAACTGTTAGTATGTAACTGGATTGTCCTAACACCTGATACTGAAAACCCACACCGCCCTCACCAAAAGAGTGTGGGGCAGGAGGGAGTGTGCTATTCTGGGGCTTGACTTTTCTATTACCACTCTACATACCTATTAAAATATCTGAGGCTTTCCTCTGAAGAATGGACTCTCTGACTGGACACAGTATTCTAAACGGGGTCTTATATACGTGGAAGGAAGAACAACAACACTGACTGAGATACCTTTTTAGGAGAATTGAAATATGTCCTTTCCCTCGGAGATTCCTTGACCTGGGAACATAAGAGAAGGCTGACAAAGAGCAAGGGTGGCCTTCCAAGTGAAATGTCTCCCCATGGCTATCAACATCAATTGAAATTTGTTTGCTGGTTGTCATGATTTCCAAAAAGTCTTGTTTATCGAGAAAAGTTAAACAACTTACTCGTACAATGTACAATCTCAAGTTCCAGAACAGAAATTTCACAACTACTCTTTTGTGCTGAAAAGAAGTTTTATTTCCACTGCAAGTCTTCACAAACGTCCTAAATGTATTGTAATATTCTAAGGGTTTTGAGAAAGAGCGTCCACATCTTCAACTTCAATCAGTCTTCTAGTAGTCATCCAACAACAACATTTAGCATCAGTAGTGCCAGTAGATGGTCTTAATTTTTGGTCTCACACTTTTGTAAACCTTTCAGGTTACATGGCAGTATTAATACAACCATGCCTGAAGTATTAAGTGCTTTTCTAGCTTGGAGTGCACCATTTCTCCACCAGAAAACCTATAGCTAAGCACTTGTTGATACTTTAAAGCAAACATTGTAAAGGAAGAGTGTCTGCCATCCTACTATTTTCAAAGGATACTTATAGTCCCCACTTATAAGAGCCTAGTAATGAGGAAGTACAGCATCTGCCTGAAAAACCTAATTTCTTATAGACTGGTACCATAAAATACTTGAAATACTTATGCTTCATGATAAATAGATATTCACTGCTGTAAAGATCCCGATGAAACGTCGTGGTAACCTTTCGGATTTTGGTTGGATGTGAAAAGATCATGATCTTTGAAATAAAAGTGGTGTTTAGGATGGAAGTGGTAAACGTCGTAAATATTCTCTATCTTTTCAGCATCTTCATTTTTCGTGCTTATTGAAGAAATACCAACTTTACGTGCCTAAATGTTCCAACTTCTGTGGTATAGTAAAGACTTTTATCAACAGTAAGTCACTTTGGACCAGGAGGTTTGCCGTATTTTCTTTTTGTTTTTGAACTTTACTCTGATACTAAGGCCTATCCTCGAAACACCAAAGTTATTCCATATCTTCATATTACAGAGGATTTTTCTTTGCTTTTTATATCATCCTCTCATGGTGATAGTTGCAACTCCGTGTACATGAAGAACGATGTTGTCACTAGACTGTCCCGTTTAATATACACTGCTATGGTTGCTGTGGCCGGGTTTTCTGACACTTGCATTCATCTGATGCTGTATCAGTGCACGCAACTCAGCAGGGTCCGGCCTAAGTGACACTTCCGTTTGTGGATCAAAGTCAAAAGATTTATCTGGATATTTCCTCAGTATGTCACGGAAAGCAGAATAGAGCTCATACTACACTGCAAGAAAATAAATAGAAAGCTGAAAGATTTCGAAAAGACACCCGGTAAAACGGAATCCGGAGTTTGAAAACGGGAAACCGGAAGGACTGTAGATCTCTTTCGACAAAAGTAAGGAAGTAGTTTGGCTGAGGAGTTAGTATGCTCCAGCAGTGTAACAACGTCCACAGTTCAAACTCTTTAGTTAAACGTTATTGTTAACTGACGAGACAGTGAAAGCAGCAGTTATACCCAGTAAGTACGTCAAAGAAGAAGCATGCTTATTCATTATTCGGGCGAAAACTGTCAGATTTTGGCTCCACTCAAGGCAATGGATTTGAGGGGATGGAGAACGACATGAACACGCTACATTCAACCAAACATTATGAAGTGCTGGTGGGAAGAGTAGAGGCAAAAAGTGTAGGGAAGTCAAGTTGACTCAAAACCACACAAGCTCTCACGCGCCTTCCAAACAGGTTAATGGATTAGCTGTACATGAGGTGTAAATAGATGGAGGTGTAGCATCACACACCTCCTAAAGAGGATTGAAAACTGAAAGGCGGTACAAAACATCATCAGAGGTTGTAGAAACAGATCACTGCTGGATACTATTGACCTCCCTAAAGGCCTTTTGGGATAAGAGGGAAAGATGTCCTCGGGAAGGCAAACGCAGCAAAATGAAACCAAAGCATATTGGACTCCAGTGGGTACTGGGCTCTGATGCGATCCTGATCCACTCACAAGGGAATACTTTGACTTCCGACGTCAACACACCCCAATCCAGATGACGTTGTTGTGACAACCCGCGTACCGATAGCCGGAGGGGGTTTATAAACATTGTTAGACGGCCTACACGTTGATAGGACGTCACCAAAATGCTCCCCACCGACACTTGTGGTGGCCGCTTTAGAGACAGAAATCCAATATTATAAAATGTGCTCAGGTTCCGAAGACAACCAATACGATTATTGTGAGTGGAAATTTACAAAGAAGACCATGTCTCACAGAGGCTCAGGAACCCAGAAAGTCTTATCGGTGCCTGAGAAGAATGTTGACCCCGGACCAAACCTGCTCAAATTGACATTTCTGGCTTTCAAACTGGTGTATGCAAATAAGAGGGATTGCAGGAGAACAGACACCGTCTGTAAGCCAGGTTTTTATGCACTTTGAATGGTCTCGAAACGAACGACTACAGTGGCAGCAGAAAATGAACGAGCTGCATACTCTCTGATGGATTGCTTGGAGGTAGGAAGAATTAGGGAAGGAGAATATATGGTCGATTCGTTGCAAATTGGCAGGCTCATTGTATATATTCTTTAGCGTATGCCGAACGGTTCACCCAGCTAACGGAGTGATAGTAAAGTCTTAAGAGGCGCGCCAAAGTAGAGAGCATTACGTGCTTCTAGAAAAGCACGAGATGTATGCCCACTAATATCAGTGGCCTGCGAAAACTAAAAATCAAAGCTGATTCTTATCCTGTTGACATTGTTGTGTGAAGGTCACCCCCTCGAGTTTCAGACCAAGAGCCGTGCGTTGCTAGCAAAAGGCCGTTCTGCAAAGACTATGGATCTGGTTAGGGAGTGGGGCTAAAGTGTGGATTGGTCCTTCTCTTGTGGTCTGTGGAATTGAAATTCACGAACCCTACTTTTCCAAGAGGTGTATGTGATGCCTTTTAAGAACCTGCTGAGTTCCATGTGTGGGTCATTTATAGTCGGCCACCTTCAGTCAAAAACTAGCTGCTCCTCCAAATTGGGGGATGCACACATATTGCATATAATATACTCGGCAAGGGAGATAACTCCACTGGAGTACTTTAGTTACCACGTAGGAGCCTCGGTTATTAGCGTAAGCAGTGAGCTGGTAAGGTGATTTTTCTACTGTTTACCATTGGTGCTTCTCTGGCAACACCGAATTCTTGCTACTTTTCGGCGAGGACCTCAACTCCCGACCTATGTTTGGGTAAATTATTTAGCGCTCCTCATATTCTTGGGAAATGCATAATCTTTCGAACTGGGCTCATACGGCTTAATCCTGAAGGAAGGTCAATTGAACGATATGAAAAATCTCTCGACATTAGCCATCCTATCCGTGTCTGCCAAGGTGGTGTTGTTAATTTGTTTCATATTGAGGAACTACCCTATAATGATCAACTTTTTACTTCCCACGAGCACAGACTTCGGAGGAGTGCTGTTGTGCAACCAACATGCCGACAACAGTAGTTAAGTGGACTAGCATTGTTGACAGCCAAGGCAGAACATATACTATTTGTCTATCCTTTCTCAACCAGTGTTATTGAGCCTACCGCGACTTCACAATTGATAGACAAAAGCTGGCCAGGCCTAACCCAGCGACCATCAACTGGTTGTCTTCAAATATCCTTGGAATTTTACTCGGAATTCCAGCAAGTTCCTCCATGTCCCTAGAAGCACAGTGCCCAAGTCGTATTCCTCATAGTTTGGTAGTATAGCGCCATCTTTTTTCCTACGCATATAAACGACTTGCCCCAACGGGTTTAACCGATATTCTCCCTTCCACCACCGGTGCGAAACCATGAAGGTAAACCAGAACAATGAAGACAGGTTTTTTGCAAGACAACCTAGCTTCGGAACTCGCCCAACAGGGAAGGGCCTTGATTCGGACTTGGGAATCGCAAAGTGTATCATCAAAGATACTATGTACTTCTTTGTATATGGTCGCAGTGTTGCAGAACTAGAAGCGTAGCCGGTGGGGAGGGGTTCCAGCATCATGGTCGCCCAAGACTTGAAATGCTGTACTACCTGCACTTGAAACCCATTCCTAATATTCCTGCAGGTTATGACTATCAGACAAATTTTCCGACGCTTAAGGCCAAACTTCAAGGAATTTCCAATTGCCTCACACCCTGCCTGCGGTTCATGAGTTTAGTCTTCGTCGCCACCTTTGCTGATAGAAGAACAGATTCTGAGAAGCCTAATAAAATCTGTTCATACAATCGAGTTTAAAACACGCGAAGAAGAGCTGTGAGGGTTTGACCCATATCCTGTCAACATGCGGGGCTGAGTGGGGATTTGATGACGCCATGTAGCACGGAGAGCAGCCCTGAAGACCCGTACCCCCCCCTGTCCAAGTTCATCTGTAAGGCCAGAAGTTACACCTCCAACACCGCAGGTTACGAATACGGAGCAAGTTCAACTCCTTAGGAGCTGCTAGACCTTGTAATACCTCACTAGAAAAGCGGTATTTTCTTCCTCATTTCTTAGCTTGTCGAATGCCCTGATATTTTTAATCGAATTTAGCTACCTCCCGTTTATACCATTCAGGTCCCCTAAGATCTTGTAGATTTTTCAACATATATCAATCTGATGATGCCTGTGGGCTGGCTTCTTTCATGCTAAGTTGCTAATATGAGAATTAAATATTTGTTTATTTACTAATTTATCGAGGGGTGGTTCAGGCTACTTGACGAGAATTCTTTAAATTCGGAATTGATGCATACCGATGGTGCGGGCGTTAATTTATTCAGAACTAACTTGCTTTCCCCATTTTTTCTCCTCCTCCTTTTCCTTGGTTCCGTACACAAGTTACAGTCAGAGTTAACTGTGATCCACAGCTTCGGAAAACGAAGGCTATTTTAGGGGCAACTTCTATCTCGATATCAGTCATCTGAAACCAGTCGGCCATATTTATGCTCTGACTTGCTTCATCCAACTAGCAACTTTCTGGTGTGCATCGTCACACTGCTTGTCAGTTTCTGGATGAACAAACACTGAGCAAGCAATAAAGATGTGAGTATCAGGATCCAACAAACCCATGAACACTGATGTGATCAATCAACTGTGTACTCTCTATGCTTGATTATACATACTACGGTATAGTGAGGGGTGAGACACGCGCATATAAGGCCAGAACGACGAATGAAGTTTACGGACATAAAGTTTCACAGTACGATAATATGCCATCATTTTAACGGATAATTATATATTAGTTTTCGGGAAAGAACGGGGACACAAGGTTATGCTTTTTAAGATCAGAAGCGTGTGCAGTCTCATCCTGTGGCATATATGTGTGTTCCGTTCTCTCCTGAAGCGTAGCTCATAATTATCCGTTCAGTGACAGGTGTATATCAAGGTGTGCAACAAAAATTTTATACTTTGCCATGTAAACATGTGAATTGTTACGGGCGTGAAAGCCGACTGAAGAATTACGTAGAGGTCTAGAGCTTTATGGGGAACGAGTAACATAAAGGTAGCATTCATAGTGTTTTGGGTCCTCTGGTCTTCACCTTTTTTATCAATGACTTCAGCAGCAATTTTACAAGTGGCAAACCTTTCTGATTGGTGATAACTTTAAGGTGGTCTGCGCACCTCCTGCTGACAACTTAGACTACTTCCAAAATTTATGACCACAAAGTAACTGCACGTTCTGCCCAACCCGACACAGTAATCAGAAACAGAGGTTTCACGCTATGCGTCTGCATGAAATTTTCATTCTTTAGTATTCAACAGAGAAATCGAACATAAGGAACGCCACAGCAAGGAAAGTAAAGTAGGGAGGGACATGAACATGGGGAACACACTCCTGTTGGAATTCTTGTTTCTCTCTGCCTGCCGCTTTTTTTCTGTTTTTTCTCGCTTTAGAAGAGCAACTCGGTTCTAATTGCTGGCTTGGCGGTCATCGAGAGTTAATTATTTAAGGAACAGACCTTGGCTGAAACTACCCTTCATGGAGGGGGGAAAACTAGCTTTACTGCCCTCACAATACCTAACTACAACAAACAGAAATAAAAAATGTTCACTGGACTAAACCTTCATAATTATCAATACCCAGGGCTTACTCATTAAAACGTGGCCAGGAAGGTCCGACACTTACCAACTATAAGGCTGTCACGACCGGCGTCAACAGCGGACAAGATTTCCTGGAAGTTCACTTGGCGCATTCAGGCAAGTTTGTCGCTTCTGGGTGCCGAAGTTAGAAAAGTGAGGATATTTGGCTCTCAGACGCAATATTCATCAAGATTATGAATCTGTGATGTGGAACGGTATTAACATACTTGAATTACACAGTTCTGGAATCGTCAATGAAGTGAAATATGTAAACAATTTGTGCATACGTTTACTCATAAACTTTTCATCATAACCTCAAGCGAAGATACAGACTGTTACAATGGAAGTGTTAGCTTCAGGCTTTATTTTTCTAGAGGTAATACATGTGGTGTTGAGATACAAATCTGGCCTTTTTGTTAGTGCGAAGACAATACTTCCACTAGTTCAACTTGTTAATTTTCTGCATACCTATTCAGCTGGGGTGTTTTGGTATATGGGCATGCAGCACTTACGTCTTCTAGTGGCAATGGTGGGGACTGAGATAACCTTCTATGAAGACACATGTAGTTTATACAGAAACTTATTCGTTCCTGTAAAAATGGTGCGTGGCTGTATACTCAGGAATAAATATTGTTATTATTATTACTGGTACAAAAGAACTAGACGAAGTAACCAACTTGTGCAGTATGTGGATATGCCTTACTACATCCACCGTTTATATGCCGGTGGGCCTGCGGTTCTTGGAACTACCTAACCCCCAGAGTGCTGCCAACTCAGGTCTCAGGTATGCTAGTGACTTCGCATTCGCTGAAAAATTTGGATACATGCACATGCATTTGGACGGGATCACATGCCAAGATGCATATCCCTCAGGTTGCGACTGCTTGGATAACACGACTGGAGATGAACCCTGTTTTCTTTTCCAAGATTTTCCATGATATGTTATTTTAATCCAGTCGAAAACTTCGAGTTTCACAAGCAGGCTGTCATGAGTTGTCTTACCAAGCATATATAGTTGAAATAAAGGCTCTTAGACTTGTTTACGTGCAGACGTCTTTTCCAGCAAGTTCTCCCGAGTATGTGATCGACTCATTGTCGAGACTGGAGCGTGCAGCTCACCTATTGTCTGTTAAACACAGTCTTAGCTTCCGGCAGCCTGAATTTATTAGGTCCAACAAAACCGTGTTCGCAACACTCAGCATACTAAGTTCCCCGAATGTCTAAGTGGACGAGTGACTGCAGGAGCTACTGAATCTATTTAACTTTGTCTTCTGGGTTGGATGATACATAGAGGAGGAAACAATGGATTTCGTATAAGCAGCACCGTTAAAATATCCTCTTGAATATAGTCAACTCAAGATAGGCCTCACAAAACTTATGTATGTAACAGGCTTCTAGAAAACTTCTTAGCTAACTGAACAAGTCAAAATGACAGGCTTACGGAGCCCATAACGCAACTCCCAAGCCTTATGCATGCGTTCGCTTATATGTATGTGCATATATATAGAAGACCTGTCATGGGGTCTGTTTACATGACCCTAAGGAGATTTTTTCGCAAATTCTTGGTCCATAACAGCTGTCCGCATTCTTTCCTGCTCTGCGTAGAAGGGATACATGAAGGTGCAGAACAGTATATGGACACCAAAGCTATGTATTTGAGTTCCGTATTGGATTTGTTCATCCAACATGCAGCACGCTGAGACTCCGCATTACTTATTCAATGGCGTTTCTAGCATAAATTACCGCCCATGGTCATAACATTACAATCACACTTCCTTCGATGTCTGAATTTTATGGTCTTGCTACCTGATATTCTTTGTCTGTGTTGGTAGTAGGGTTTTCCACATCCATGGTATGGGTGCTGCATCATCCCTGTTGCATGTGCTGGGAGCAGATTCGATGAACAGGGATTCAGCAATCGATCTCTACACTGTATCGGACTTAAGTACGGCGGTCTTTTCCCACCACAATGTGTTAATCCACACAATGTAATAGCCGAGTGTTTCTCTAGATTTTGATCTTATTGGGGTTTGTCACTCTGTATTCGGCCTAGTTTCTAATTTACCCCGACCAGCTTGTTTGACCCATGTATTTTATCTCATAGTCGCCTCATGGGATTTGGTAGATTATATTGTTCTACCTAGTTGGAGCTATTTAACCCTTAGGCCGGCAAAGCTTGTCTCTGAGCAAGTTTGTAGGTTTAAATGACACCTTAATTCCATCTTCGCTCGGGATCCCACGTAAAGTTTCCAATGCTCCTTCCTTATGCGCTAATGCGATAGAGGCTCTGGACTTATTTCCACTCCACATTGTTTTACACATATATTTCCCCGAATGTTTGATAAACAAGGCAAGCACAGATTATGTTACTCACTACTGCCAGGATACTTCTCGTGCCCAGTGATTATACCGGTATTAAATTTCACTGCTGCGGTTTAATAAATAAATAAATGTTCTATTCTCGTGTTTAAAAAAAGGATTTTAACATGGGAGAAGCCAGTTTACGGGCTTCATCACGTTGATACATCTCAAAATATCTACTAGACTTGAGCCCTGAGTGGTACTGATGGAATGTCATTAAACACAATTAAAAAAACTGCCGAAGGTCCTGCTAGTTATGAAATGAACGAGGAAGTATTACCTTACAGCGAACATAGGGTGTTAAGGTTTAGATAATAGTAAATGTCGCCTTCATTTAACAGGCTTAACATGAGGGATACCACTTAACACCCACCGTCAAATTCATAGTTTTTGAAAGTATCTAGTATTAAATAATTTACATATCAAGTCATTGGTGTGCATAATCTTATTGAAATTTGCTGAAATTCATGAGACGGATATGGATTGCCATATCCCATCACATAGATAAGTTCCATTATCAATATCAAAAGCGCGCAGTGTACAAAGTTTGCTTTGTAACCAACCAACGTTGTTAGTCCATTCGCATAGTTTGCTGATTGGCAATATAATAGTTTATTACTTAGAATGATCTTCAGTTTTTAGTTTGCTAACCACAAAGGACCCATTTATACAATCTGGAGTATCAATAAAGTATCCACAGTTATATAACCAACGTGTATGGCTATATCAATGCATATCCAGGACACCATGTTACTTTTAAAGGTGATATAGATTAATTCTGCTGGGAATATTTGTTGTATTGGATGAAAATAGGTGTTGAAACAGTCAATAGTCCATAGACTTCGAGCATCTTTTGTATTAGCATAGGCGGCATCATTCGAGAAGTGTATTTGATGCGTAGTAAGTTCCATATGAAAAGGTCTCTTGGTACAGAGTACTAGAAAATGTCTAGTGTGGAGCCATTGCAGGTAAGTGACGTCCTGAGCCAATATTTTAATTGGTCTCTGGTTTAATCATCTGTTCAGAATGCCTCTGCTACTAATACTGTTGGGAATGGTCAGACGGTTCGTCGTAAGAAAAATCATGACGAGTAGGTAAAAAAAAAAAAAAAAAAAACCAGAATTTGCGAAAGAGTGGGAGTAGTGCAATAATTATTGGCGTCAATGAGCAGGTGTTATTCCCATAAAGTAATCACGTTCAGACTGAATTTGAACATCAAATGTCGACTTGCAGCTGTTTCTGCAAATGGGGAAAGAAAGGAGAGGCACGAGCAGATATGGAAATAGAGATTACTACGCTATCAAATTTGGAGAAGAGAAAGGTCCCTATCCTTTTTTGATTTATTCGGACTTGATGTACATTTTCATGTATATATGTTAAGTCAACTACATAGTCCTTTCATTATAGGGTTATTAAGTCGTTTTTTTGGGGGGGGGGTACCGTAGTGGCTTTCAGAAATAAACAGTATTCTTTAAGTTCATTATACGGAGAGGAGCCGGTATTCATACCCTTGTATGCAATCGTGAGGCCATCTGCATTAAAGGAACTTCAGGGCTTTAATAAAACCGATTCTTACATTTAGAGATCTGAGTACGTTCATAGCGGACGCAATGGCTTGACCATTGTTA